ACTTTCTCAATCTGCCCTCCTCTCTATCATACCCCTACTCTCTTGTCCCCTTCGCCCCCTTATTTTCTTGGCATTGCCCCACCCCAGCAATTATTCTAGAGAGATGTGTTTATTTACATCCTTTGACTGTTTATCTATTGAGGAATGAATTTTGGTCTTATAAATTTATATTATTTCTATTAGTTAACTACATATCTTAGATATTAAACCTTATTGGTAAGTATTTTTTCCTAGTCATTTGTTCCTCTATATTCTAGTTGCATTAATTTTGTTAATGCAAAACCCTTTCAGTTTCTTATCATAAAAGTTATCTATCTTTTGAAATTTTTTCTCTCCCTTGTTTGATTAAGAATTCACCCCCTTAGGGGCAGCTAGATGGTGCAGTAGATAGAGCCCTGAAGTCAGGAGGACCTGAGTTCAAATCCAGCCTCAGACCAAACACTTGACACTTAATAGCTGTGTGACCCTGGGCACATTTTAACCCCAATTGCCTAAAAAGGGGGGGGGGGAGAATTCACCCCCTGCCCGTAGCTATAAAAGTCGCGTGATCTGCCTGTTCTAATTTTTTGTGGTATGTTCTATAATATTCAGATCATATGGCCATTTATTGTGGTAAAATAATGTAAAATGTTGATCTAACTCTAATTTGTGACAGATGTTTTTTTTTTCATTTTTTCCCAGCAATTCTTGTCAAATAGGAAGTTCTTTTCTAAATAATTTACATTTGGGTTTTTATCAAATGCCGGGTAGAATTGGATTATTGTTTATTCTTCATTGTCTGGTCTATCCATTGACAGATTTTTTTTATTTTTAACTAATACTAAATGTTGATTACTGCTATATAATATAGTTTGTATTATAGTCCCTTGCTTTCTCTCCTTTCTGTTTTCTACATCTACTACCTTGATAAAGCTCTCATTATTACCCACCTAGATCATTATAATACTCTCCTAATAGGTCTTCCCATTCCTACATCCTACTACTATCTTTAAACATTAAAATCCAGGTTGTCCTCTAACCTGATCAGAAGTGAGCCTCTGGTCCAGACCTGGTCGTACTTTGTATTTCTCTTCTACACTTGCCTATTTTGTATTATAATTATTTGTGCACATAGCCTTTGCTTGTCTGTAAACTCCATGAGCTCAGGGTCTTTGCTTACCTTATCTGCTTGGTTCTCCCTGCCTTTACCTAACAGTTTTCAGCACACAGAATGCAATCAGTGTTTCATATTAAATTGAATTGACTCAGTTCTCATTGGGAACCAGTCAGTTGCTGTACATTCTAAAGTAGTTTGTTGAGTACGAGGTATCAGGTCATTGCTGGCTGGACTTTTCCATTGGCAGCTCAGAACCAGATGGAATACATTGATGTATTTGGGAACGTTGGGTGTTTTCTTCTAGGCTCTTGACTTTAGTACCATTTGTACGACAGATTTCGGAAATCTGAGAGGTGATGGGAAAAGGGTAGATCCTCCAGCTGTGTTTTTGACACAGATGTAATTTCCAACACTAGTAAAGAGCCAGAGACATTTTTCTGTATATTTTTTCAACAAGTATAAATGAAGAGAGGAAGGCAGAAAAGGAAGTTAGGAACCCAAAGGTCGCTGTCTCTATCTGTTTATCTAAATCAAGCCTCATAGTCCAACCTGTTATGCTCTTGAACTGTGTATTTGTGGAACAGATTCCATTTGGTGCCTCAGCATCTGTATTTAGAGTGCTTCTCCCCCAACAATGATCCACAGTTTGTTGGGTTTCTTTTTCTCCCTTCAGCTTGTTGCAATATCTGCTTTGGCTTTTCTGTTTTGGACAGATCCTCCTGAGTGGGTACCAGATGAAGCCTGTAGCTACTGCACAGCATGCAAAGCGCCTTTCACCGTCATTCGGAGGAAGCACCACTGCAGGAGCTGTGGCAAGGTACCGAGCTCAAGGGGAACGTGTGTGTCACTGACGTCAGCTGGGAAGAGAGGCCAAAGGGCTACGAATGGCCAGGCTTTGAAAACAGTGGTATTTCCGCCTGGGAAGCTCTATTCCCTCAGATATCTAAATGTCGATTGAAGACAGCCTTTTAAGAGACTCTGAATAAGAGAGCCTGAATAATTGTCAGGTGCCTCCTCTTAATCCCATGGCCAAGAGCCCTGCCAGCACCCCCTAGGATTCATTTATTCCAATAGCCTGTACTACCGAGGACAGATTGGATTTTTGGCTGTAAGACTATCATTTCAAAAAAAGAGAGCTGCTTTTAGAACTAGAAGTGATGAGACAATGAAATATAATAATTGAAATAGCAAAAGATCAAGATGGCTGCCACCAAGGTAAATTACACCAACAAGAAGCAAGCAAAGCAGTTTCTTTTGAGGGTATGTGCATGTTACAGTAATCTGAACGGTCATTGTTTAGGGAGGAGAATACTAAAAGCATTCTTCTAAAATTTCTTAGCGCAGGAAACCAAATACTCAGTGAGTTTTGAGTTTCCCATTATCAAGGTGTGCTTAAGTGATTTATTGATTTTTCCATGTTACTATAGAAGGATCCTATAGGAGGGTTGCATTACAAGGTAGTTTGCCTGAATTTTTAGTGGGAGTGGAGCCAAGGAATTAGTTTAAGTTAATTTTTTTTAAATATTAACTTATTTATTTACATGGCATCTCTGAGCAAAAATGTCCTAGTAAGTTCATTCCTTACCTATTCATGTCCATTTTGGACACTTTCCAGAAATAAAACTTAAAAAGATGACTGGGAGAAATACAGTGAAGCCCACAAAGGGAGTTAACCTTCCTTACTGGAATCCCCTCTTAAGGGATCTTAGAGTGGGTGGCTGATGTGCAGAAAGTAAACCTGTGTCAACAAACCTCTCTCTTTGTGTGTTTCAGATTTTCTGTTCCCGCTGCTCTTCGCACTCTGCACCGTTACCTCGTTATGGTCAGATGAAACCTGTCCGTGTTTGCACTCACTGTTACATGTTCCATGTCACGCCGTTTTACAGTGACAAAGCTGGAATTTGACATATTAAACTAGTGATCTATTTAATGGAGTCATACATGGACTAAAATTCTATGTGACTTAAGCCAAGAATTAACTGGAAAGAAGGCCCTTGTCAGGAACATGTAGGCTTTAAGCATCCATCATAATATATTTTCTCCAGATGGTTTTTATTGCATTTTCCTAAGCTACTAAAGGGAACCATGGGGAGCGTGTAGCGCTGGGGCTGCAGTCGTCTTCCACACATTTCTAACGTGAACATGATGATGCCATATGATATAGGAGAAACACACTTCATGAAAAGAGAGGGGGTCCCGATTTAAGCTACCAAGGCTTGCATTGCTGCCCATCTCCCAAACACACATTTGTGTCCTCCTTAGAGGAAACCAATTCCAAACTGCTCACTGGCTTCTGACAGATGTTTTCTTCCTTTTGCTGGCTAGCCTTTTTAGTAAATACACTCTGGCCAAACGTTACCAAATTTATACGGGATATTTACAGAGGCAAAGTTATCTTTGAAGCGAAGAGGAAGCTCTTGAGTTTCCAGAGCCGTACTTGGCTGTTGCCTTTTGTTTGGGAATCATAGCAATAACTCTGATGCTCTACTCTTTTATTGTTACCTTGTTTTGCATGGGGTGGGCATTTTTGAGGATTCGTTATATCTGATACCATTTCTTCCACCTCTTGGTTGTTTAAAAAAAGTGAGAATAAATATGAGAGTTTTATTTATATCATTAGTAACAATAATACAGAATAAATGCCAAGGGCATTGGTAATTGGGGTGAAGGTTCAATACAAAATACTTCTTTTTATTTTTGGAAGTTTTGCAAAACAAGGGCACTGTTATATGTGGGGCTGTTTATGAAACCAAAAATATGTAAAAGACAGATATTCAGACTGTCCATTTTTATTCAAAAAGGCCTAACATTTACTTACACTTTAGGGATGCAAAACCTGCAATATATCATTTATGGCATAATTTTTTAAATCATTTCTTAGTCACTTTTTTTTTTCAATCAGATGCAGGCCTGTCTTAGGAGAATGTGTTTAAACCAGTAGGAAAATAACTTCTTATCCAAAGGGGAAAATACACACAGGAAGTGATTTTTTTGTACAGTAAGAGGTTTATTTTCCAAAGTATCTGCCCTAAGTTTACCCACTGATAGAGTGAAGAACTTGCTTTTACCAGACTCCAGATTTTGCTTTCTTCGACATCTATACTGTCGTGCAGTATTTCATCACAAAAGACATGAAGAGCTGACAAGAAAACTGCGTGTTCTTTCCTTCAGAAAAGAATCTTACTCAACAAGGCAGACAACACTGGTACCTTTCTACGGTTTTCTGCCCCATGCAAACTGATCAGATAAGATTCCCAGGTTTTCTTGGTTTCTTAGTTCTGTTGTCATTTACATCACATGGAACCCGCATGGCATCAGGCATAAGAAATGCACTAGAGTGCTCAGTGCAGTGTTAGTCATACTATCATGTCTGCTCGTGGATTTCATTTTGTTTCCTTTTTGTACCTTCCCTCACCAAATCCTAAAGACGGGATCTCAGTGATGGCCCCAGTTTTTTTGGCTCAGCATGATGCAGGTCTCTCATGCCAACGGGAAAACTGAGGAGTATGGTACCAAACAGCGATACCTATTCAGGCTTCAATCTCAGGCTTCACATTGCAATGATTATTGCAGTTTTATTTTTGAGAAATGACAAACCTAATGCTTCTTTTATAGGATAATAAATAAATAAAATTTAACTGTGACATTAACATGCACAAAAGTTCTTTCTTCTGTAAAAAAAAAAAAAATTCTAATGGAATGAATCTTATTTATTCCAGCTTATTTTTATTCTGTAAATGCTGTAATTCAAAACCATTTCCATATATATGTGCATATATATATATATATATGGATCTCAGACACTATAGTTTCTTATGTAAATACAGACTCCTACTTCTTTTACTGAAAAGCACAATGATTCTATCAGTACTAATATGCATGTGCCTCAGAGAAGACTTTGATCTTATGATCATCTCTTCAGATAATTAAAAGGTCAGGACTTTCTACTTCCACGTGCTGGGTGGCTGTTTCCTTTTGTGTCGCTTTACAAGGAGAAAGGTGACATCTTACCAGTAAAGTTGGTTTTAATCCCTCAATCCACTCATGAAGCAGTTAGGAGCAAGTATATCCCATTAAGGCCATTTGTGCAATAATAATTCACACATCTGCTATCTCTACAAAACAGTCAGAAGACTTTGATCCAGGAACTAGAACGAGCCATGGAACCAATCCCACGAATAACTTTCCTCAGATTTCAGATGGGCCTCAGTCCTTCCTCTTTGGACATGACATGGCACACTCTGAGCTACTTACTGACTCCATTGCAGTTGTAAGCGTGAGGGTGAGAACAGACTCTCAGGTGTCTGTAAGCCCATCTTGGATGACCTGGTGTCTCATTACTAGGCTCCTGTGGTCACGGAGACTAAATGAGCGACAGTGGAGATGATGCAGAGTGGAGACACGGAGATAGAGCCCACCCTGGTGTGTTTTTATTTGGCACATCTGGAAAGGTAGAAAGTGTGATGTTCCTTCCTCATCCCTCTGGCAGTCAGTTTCAAGGAAGAATAAAAACAAAGTAAGTGTGGCACACCTGTGCACATGTGTGTTTAAGGAAAATTTTGGGCACCAAGTTTTGGGGTGTTTAAATAAAAACACTCTTACCTCGTAAGGACACAGTAAGGAAGAAAGGGGCTAGAGGAAGTAATGAACTCTGCCCCAAATACATATTTCCCAACAAAAGCCCTGAATGTCAACCAATAAAAATAAACTTTTCTTCCCTTGCCTAACAACCTTCTTTATACATAACAATGTGTGTATATTTTTTTCTGATGGTTTTTATGCCAGCCACAAACCCTCTCCTTTGAAAACTGACACTTTAATTTCCCCTAAAGAAGATATGGTCTTCTAATGCCAATCAGCCTTTGGCTGTGGGAAGATGGAGTGTGAGCCAATATCAATAATGTGAACTTTGAAAACAGGTGGAAGCCAGAGCTCCTTCTGCCTTGCTGCTCCGGGCATTCAGTACATTCAGTAAGCAGCCCTCCAAGAATCCAGGTCTCAGGCTGCCATCACAAAGACACAGGACAACAATCTTGATTCTTTCCCTCACCAAGTTTGTCCATTCTTTCCATTATTACTCAAGCTGTCTCTCTCCCAAGCAGTTCTACATGAGATCTCCGAACCTTCTTTGCCTCAGTGTATATTTCTTAATCAAGTTATGTCAGTTTCCCATTATATCAGATTCCAGGCATGTTGATAAGCACATTTAACTCTTGTTTATGGCCGCCTGATAAACCCAGTTGTTTACTCTGCAGTAGACTGGTTATCTGACTCCAGCCAGAGGCAGATCAAAGAATAAGGGATCTTTGCTACCCTTTCTCCATCCTTCCCTGTGTCTTGAGGGATTGTAGGGTTCCACAGTGTGGGAAAGTCAGAAAGGCATTAGTATCTAACTCACATCTAATTCAAGCTAATGACTTGGCAAAAGAGGTCTGAGACATGCTGAAACAGTATGCTTTTTGAATGCCTTGTTGGGTGTGGCTAGGTGGCAGCCAGCCAACCCCCAAATTTCATTAAAGTTTTTTAAGCAGAGGGATGATGTGATCAGAGCTATGATTTAGGGGTGTCAATATGGAAATAAACTGGGGGGAGAAAAGGCAAAAATGGGACTAACTGGTTAATTGTAATACTTCAAACAAGAAGTAATGAGATCCTAGAGCAAAGTTTTAGCACTGGAAATAGAAAGATGATAGAGGACATTTTGGAGGCAGAATGGACAGTCTTGGCAATTAATTGGCTGTGAAAGGTGGGGCTGAGGTCAAAAATGTTTTGGAGTTAGAGTACCTGAGTTCAAATCCTGGATCTGCTGCTTATGACCTATGTGATGGTTGACACTTAACCTCACTGATGATAGAGCTGGAATAGAGCAGGGTGGGGAACCCTTCAGGTTCTAAATCCATGACCCTATAATAGCAAGTGTTTTGAATCTGAGTGACTAGGCCAATGGTGATGCCATCACCAGAAATAGGGAAGTCATGGAAAGGAGAAGTTTTGGGAAGAAAGATGATGAACTTAAAGGGGATAGAGGTTGGACTGGAATTTTAAATATTTTGGGCAGAGGTGGTAGAGTTGAAGCCATTAGGAAAGAATGAGATTGACGAGAGTATATGAAGACAAAGGGAATAAGGATGGAACTGCAGGAAATGCTTATGTGTCAGACATGTGGGAGAAAAGAAGACAAGAACAGAGAACTCAAAAAGGTAAGGGAAGAGACAGAATAATAAGGTATGACCAGAAGCAAATATGAAGTGTACTGTTTTTAGAACCTCCCCAGCTTAGAATATAATGCTCCTGAAGGAGCAGGCTGAAGGCACATCACATCCCCTGGCAGTGCTGACTGTTAGGAAAGTCGTGGTTACCAAACCCTAGCCTACTGTTTTCCAGAAAGTACCAACAGACGGCACTCTGAGCCATTTCAGGCTTGGTCAAGAATGTTCCACAGCTGACATAAGCACGAGGCACTCCTTTGAAAGACTGAGAAAACTCCTACATGGGTAAGTTTAATCCATCTTTTTTCCTAGGCAGATCAGACCTGACTCTTAACCATCCCCAGCAGCCAATCGGCCGCCACATCCTATGGTTTCTACCCTTGTTAACATCTCTCCCTTCCAACCTCAAGTCTCTCCCATTCTAGTCTGTCTTCCCTCGTCAGTCAAAGTGATCTTCCTAAAGTGCTAATCTGACCACCTTAAACACCCCCACCCCCATTTAATAAATTCTAGTGGCTTCCCGTGGCCTCAAGGATCAACTATAAAATCCTCTGTTTGGCTTATAAAAGTCCTAATAATCTAGCCACCTTTCTAATTTTCTTATACCTTAACTCCTCCCCGAACATACTGTACAATCCAGTGACACTGGCCTCCTTGTTCTTCCTTTCACATGACACTCCATCTCCCAACTCCAGGCATTTTCACTAGCCGTCCCCCATGCCTGGAAATGCCCTCCACCCCATCCCCTCCTAGCTTCCTTCCAATCCCAGCTAAAGTCCTGTTGTGTTCAAAAAGTCTTTGCCAGTCTTTCTAAATGACAGTGCCTTCCCTCTGTCAATTATCTCCAATTTACCATGTACATATCTTGTTTCTACTTAGTTGTTTGCACATTGTCTCCCCCGTTATACCATAAACTCCTTAAGAACAGGGACTATCTTTTCCCTTTCTTTGTATCCTCAGCACCTAGCACAGTATATATTACCTATTATGCACTACACAATAATATTAAGCACAGAGGTATTTAATAAATGCTAGTCGACTAATGAGTAAGGGCTCTCCCTATTCCTGTTTAATCCTAAAAGAAAAGTTTAGCTTTTTTCCAATTGACTAAGTCAGTTACTCTAAGACAGTAAAACAAGGCATGTTGACATCATCAGGGAACAAGCTGGTTTTATAAATCAAAGGTGGCAAAAGAGGAAATATTTACTTTATGGGTATCCTTGACCTTTGTTTCAGTAGAGTTGAGGCTGTCCGTCAACTGAATTTGGTCTTCCTTAGCCTCCTACTTCATCTTATAGTATCCTTCCCCTATCTATCCTATGTTCTATTCCCATAAGACCTCTCCCAGCTAGCTGAAAACATCAGAAAATGACCTAATAATACCTTATCCCTGAGTAAGTGTTGTTCCAAACAGGAATGCTTGTATTTTCACTATGTGAACTTCAAAACTACAAACAACAATAACAACAATAATTGGTTTCTTTGACCTAGATACTTTTCCCACCAATGAAGATCTTGTCCCTACCACACTAGTAAATGGTCTTCACAAATACCCAAGACTTAGCCATGGCCATAACAAATCAACACTTAATAGTAAACTTTCAGATGATGAGTCTTCAGCCTGAAAAACCTTTAGAATATGGAAGAAGGAACTACAGAATAGTGTAAGAAACCTCTGAGGTCCAACTCCCACCTGAAACAGGAATCCCCTCTTAATGGGGGAATCTCAGGCCCTGTGACATGCCAGGGATGGAGGGGGAGGAGAACCTCATCAGCTTGTGTATAAGGCTATCCTATCACCTCACCCTGTGAGTCGGGATCCACATCAGTCAGTCAACAAGCATTTATTAATCATCTGCTATGTGCCAGGTACTGTGTGCATGTCCTGGGGAGACAAAGAAAGGCAAAAAACAGTCCCTGCTGTCAGTATGAGACTGGTTGGAGTTTTTTATGTGGTTTGGTTTGGTTTTTTCTGAAGAGTGGTGTTAGCTTAGGAGATGGCTGCCACACTTTCCCATTGTTCTGATGCACAAGATTGGCACAAGGCAAGGGGGTGAATATGAACCACTGCCAGATAGGACTCTTTGTACCTTCTAGAATTCACAGCTGCTGTGTCAGACCCTGAGAGGTAACAACAGCTTTCAGACTCCCGTGTTGTTTAACACAGAGAATATCCAAAAATAACACTGGAGATGCCTGGTTTATTATTATTGTTATTATCATTATTATTATTTTATAATTATTGAGAACTTCCTCTCAGTTTCTCTTTCGCTCACATATGGCATGGATCCCTGAAACAGAAAATTTCTAGAAATTTCCAGAGTAGGCCAGGGGTCTAGAGGTCAAGCTAGCTTTGTGCTGACTTCCAGGATCTTTCCAAAGTGAAAAATCAATGTTCTTCCTCAGGAATTTTCTCCAAAAGGCCTCAGACTTATAGCATCCAGAGGCCGGTGCCAACTCCCCAAAAGCCTGCCCCTTTGATACCTTCTGTCCTGAGCCCCTTTTTAAAGAAAGGGGTGAGGCTCAGCTATAATCGAGTCTTGGGGCAGTTTTTATTTTGAATACACATAACAGAAATCCAAGGACAGCATCACTAGATGATGTGAAAACTAGAAGAGACTGTTCTGTACAGAGAGTCCCAAGCCTATAAATAGGACTGGGCTTGGAAAGGAAGCCCTGCAGTGTCTGCCACCTGCCCTTACAAGTGCCCCCCACACCCTCCTCCTCCCACAGCCTAACAGAACCTGAGTTCTTCCTGAACTCTCTCTCTTATACATCAGCCCTTAAGAGCCAGGCTGTTGATCTTTTCTCATAAATAGCATCTGTGGCTTAGAAAATGCCAATCTTTCCAAAGGTTCCTTCTGCTCAGCTCTGAAGCTGTAACTGGCGAGTTGCGGGTTTGGCCTGCCACCTTGTGGCCCAGGATGGCACTGCTAGAGGTGCTGGGCCACTTCACAGAGTTTAGGAAGGAATTCTGCATTTGGCAGTTTGTCTTGGGGATTGCCAGACTGCTCAGTCAGAGCCTTAAATTAAAAAGATTAAGCCCAACTTTCTGACATTGGTCATCCCAGAGGCAGAAATTTGGGAACATTGAGGGCATTGCTATTTCTATCAAAATTACCCAAGTGGCAATTATTTGAGTTTTAATATCAGGGGATATTAAACTTGGTTTAATATAATCTAGTGTAATGGAAAAAGTATTTGACTTGGAGGCAGAGGGCCCTGCTCAAATCTTCAGCACTGCCATTAACTGTATGACTATGGGTAAGTCATTTCTATGGTGCTTTAATGTTGGTCATAGGAACAAAGATACACTTGTAAGAGTGACCTCTCCAAAACCATTTTACAAATGAGGAAACAGAAGTCTGGAGAAGTTAGATAACTTGTGTAAGGTCATACAGGTATTGAATGGCAGTGGGGATTTGAACACAGCTCCTCTGACTAAATCCAGTATTTCCACTGTACTGCCCTGAAATGTTCTTTGTCCATGTCACCCTTGTGTCAGAGGCACAAAGTGCTCAAGTACATTTTAGGAAGTATCTCAGGCTTACTGGCCTCACACCAAGGTGATCTGGGGACTTCAGGACAGTCTCCTGTGGTAGTGCCCAGGTTCCCTTACAAGCACATTGAACCACAAGGCTTATAACATGAGCAGTTTTCCTTGTAACCCAATGGAGACAAGACTCACACCCAAGTCCACAGAATAGAACAGTACCCTGCTTTCCTCCTTTCTGGGGATGGTCAAGGCTTCTTCCAACATGTTGGTGCTCTCCCTTGTCTGCACAGTGGTATTTGCTTCTGGGCACAAATGTCAGCAATTGCTGCTTCTGCCATTATCCTCTGCTGCTGCTGCTCTCAGCTCCCAAAAGGTGGTGGGTTCTCTCAACAACAGCCTCATTGCCTACAACCCCTAGCCATTCTCTCCAGTTCCCATCAGGTAGATGGGGAGGTTATTTCTGGCCCCCTTCACTGTCCAGCATTTTCAGCCTCTCATTTCCATGTAACCAACTCTCTAACAACTAGTCATAAAAGAATCTTTAAGCTCTAAAACACACCTACTGTTACTTTTAAGCCTTTTTTTGCACATGGTTCCCACCATCCCAGGTCTCGTGCATAAGGCCTCAACATCCAGATGGTGTATTTGTTGCTCATATCAGCACTTCCCATTGGATCCAGAGAATTGGGGGTAGCAACTCCCTCTCTGCCCAATCTTTCCTCTGGCCTGCCTCCCCCCGGGATAGCTAGGCTGGGTTATTATTCAAATTATCCGGGCTGCTTCCTAAAATGTCTTTGTTGTTCAGTCATGTCCCATTTGGGATTTTCTTGGCAAAGATACTTCAGTGCTTTGCCTTCTCCAGCTCATTTTATAGATGAGGAACTGAGGCACATAGGGTGAAGTGACTTGCCCAGGGTCACAGAGCTAGTAAGTGTCTGAGACCAGATTTTTACTCAGGACGATGAGTCTTCCTGACTCCAGGTCAGGTGCTCTATCCATTGTAAACATAGCTGCCCACTAAATCATCTAGGTAAGAGAAAAGAGACACAGACGTCTGCACCATGGTGAGAGGAGAAAGAGTTCTAGTCCTTGTTCCATCCACACCCCAGGGGAGGCAGCCTGTCATTCCAATGTTGTCATCCTCATTTTACCAGTAAGCCATCTGAGGCCCAGAAAGGATAAGTGACTTCATCAGCAGGATTCAAACCCAGGTCTCTGGACTCCAAGTCCAGACTTGGCTCTTTCAATACCATCCCTTCAATGCAATCGTTGTGGCTTATAGCTCTGCAGCACTTTAATTTACAAGGTAATTTCCTCATTACTCTAAAAGGTGGGTAGTAGGTATTATTATTATTATTATTATTATTTTGCACATAAGAGAGTTCAGGCTCAGAGAGCTGACAGAATTTGCTAGTAGCTGAATCTCTGACTCTCAGTTTCTTCATATTTATTTCCCACTATTCTCAGGAGTGCTACGCTCCAGCCTAATTGACAACTCCCCTTTTGACACTTCCCCAATCTGACCCTCCCTTTGCTCTGTGCTGATACACATAGACTGTTCTCCCTCCTTAACTGTGCTTCTCAAAATCCTCCTGGGCAGGGCTCAGATCAGGAGAAGCCTCCCCCACCCACTCCCACCAACCCCCCTCATTCTCTAATAATACACTTTTCTGTGGGTGTGATCTATCTCCCCAGTGAAATGTAAGCTCCTTGAGGACAAAGGACTGTCATTGCTGTCTTTGTATCTCCACTGCCTGACACACTCTAGATGCTTAATAGCTATTGAACTGAATAACTGAATCTGTAAAATAGAGTCAAAAAATGCTTGCACCATCAACCTCACAGTGTTGTGAGGAATGCACAGGTCCCCAGCCTCCTCAGGGAGCCTTTCCCTTCCGCAAAACAATGTCCTCATTGCTTCTTACCACCAAGTTTATTCCTGAATCTCTGCTATCATTATTCATTCTGTTTTTTCTCTTGTCTCGATGTGTTTGAGTCTCTCCCTCTCTGGAAGGAAGGAAAGAAGGAAATAAACATATGTTAACTGGCTACCATGTGCCAGGCACAAATATTATCTCACTTGATCCTCCCAAAGCCCTCAGGGCTAAGTGCTATTATTATCCCCATTTTACAGTTGAGGGAACTGAGACAGGTGAAGTGACTTGCCCAGGGTGACACAAATAGTATCTGAAGGTGTATTTGAACTGGAGACTACCTCACTCCTGGCCCAATATTTTATCCAGTACTACCTAGCTGCCTCTACAATGGAAGACAGCACTGGATTTGCAGTCCAGAGACCTGAATTCTAATCCTGGCTCTGATTCTTAGTAGCCGTGTGATGATCTGGAGCAAGTGATTTAACCTCTGGATCCTCAGTTAACTCCTTTATAAAGTAGAGCTAAATAAAACTCAAATCAACCACCTTCCCGAGACTCTTAAGGCGCCATAGAAATGTGAGTTATTGTTATTAATATTAGCTGTATAACACTGGAGAAGTTCTTTCCTCTTACTTTGTGAAGGTAAGGAATAACAAAATGATCCCTCCGTGCTCATATTCCTTCTGTAATCTATAATCGCACCACATTTTGCATTTCTTTGTTGCCCTGACTCCCAGCATTGAGACTTGGTGTGGTGAGCAGTGCTTGGTCATTGTGAGTGACTGCTCGCTAATTATGATGCTGATACCCAGGCTAAACATCCCCAGTTCCTTCAACCACGATCCCAAGGCTGGGGATTCATGTTTCAGGTGGGAGCAAGACCAGTCCAGACCCACAAAAGAGCGTCCTGGTGGACTGGCTGTTCCCACTGGGCAGATTGAGAAACACAAATACAATGCCACGGGTAGTGAGCTAGCAGGGGGTGGGATCAGATCAGGAGGTCTGGGAAATACAAGGACCTAGAGGCCACAGAACAAGACAAGGAGGGATCTCTAAAGAAATAATAAGAATAATTCCCATTTTTTTTTTTTTGTATTTTGCTAGGCAATGGGGTTAAGTGACTTGCCCAGGGTCACACAGCTAGTAAGTGTCAAGTGTCTGAGACTGGATCTGAACTCTGGTCTGGCTGATTCCAGGGCTGGTGTTCTACCCACTGTGCCTTGTAGCTGCCCCTCTATTTCCCATTTCTCTAGTGCTTTAAAGGTTGCAAAGTATTTTCCTCACAAGCCCCCTGTGAGGTAGGTAAGATAGTTCAAGTACCTCATTTTGCAAATGAGGAAACCAAAGATCAGAGAGGGGACATAGTATATTCATGGTCAAACAGCTGCTTGGTATTAGAGCCAGTCATCAAACTCAGTCATCCCCTTAAGGACTCTTAATTTGGGGCCCATGACCTTGTTTTCTTTAACATTTGATAACTGGATTTTAATATAATTGGTCCCTATGTAACCCTATGGGTTTTATTTTATGTATTTAAAAACATTATTCTAAGAAAGGATAGATAGGTTTCTCTAGACTTCCAAAGGGTTTTCCTCAGAGCAGCTGAGGAAGGATGAAACAATTTACTGAGGACAGCAAAGGTAGAGAAGCAGGATTCAAAACCAGGCCTTTCTGATCCAAGAACAGGGTTCTTTCGACTGCACTATCTTGGACTGAGAAGACCACTTCCCTGTGTCTCTATCTGCCACTTAGTATCTGCAGCTCAGGCCAGACTGACCTCATTGCTTTTTAGATCATGAGTACTCTTGAGAAACAATACAAAGTGAAGTCCTTAATGCGTTTTCAAGTCAACATGGAGGGAGGTCTCTAATGAACAGCCCAAGGCTGTACTTGTACTTACTGTTTTCAAGACTTTTATCAATGAGTTTGATCTTTGCAGTCAGGTAGAGTTAGATTTGATTTGTAAGGAGAAACTTCCTTGCAATTAGAACTATTCATGAGCAGAACAGACAACCTTGAGAGGTGACAGGTTCCTCTTCCTTGGAAGTCTTCAAGCGAAGGCCATTAGGTGGGTTGTAAAGGAGACTCTTTTTTTAGTAATATAGGACAGACTAGATGGCCACCGTGATTCTGGATGAAGGTGTAGATGGCATGCTTATCAGATCTGCAGATGGAAGAGACAACAAACAGGTTGGATGACTAAGAATCCAGAGTCCAACAGGCTAAAATAATAGGCCAAATCTAATTGAGTAAAATTTAACAGAGAAGTACTATATTTCAGTTCAAAAAAATTAACTTCATAATTATAAGGTAAGGGATATATAGCTAGTAAATAGAGTAAAGAGTTCATGTGAAAAAGATCTGGGTGTATTGATAGGCTGTGAGCTTGGGGGGGGGGGCAGGGAGCCACAGCTAGCTGGTACAGTAGATAAAGCTCCAGTCCTGGAGCCAGGAAGACTTATCTTCTTCCTGAGTTCAAATCTGGCCTCAGACACTTACTAGCTGTGTGACCTTGGAAAGTCATTTAACCCTGTTTGCCTCAGTTTTCTCATCTGTAAAATGAGCTGGAGAAGGAAATGGCAAATCCCTCCTTTATCTCTGCCAAGAAAACCCAAAATGGGGGCATGGAGAATCAGACACAACTGAACAAGAAGCTTAAGAGGAGTCAGAATCTGGATGTGGCAAACCAAAAAATGAATGAAATTTTACAGTGTATTAATAAAAGCATAGTATCCAGAAGGGGCAAGGTAAGAGTCCCACTGTACTCTGCCCGGGCACATTGGGTCCAGTGCTTGGTACCCTAGCTTAGGAAGAACACTGACGGGCTGAATTATGTTTGGAGCTGAACCAATATGGTAAGGGGAAGGAGAACACCAGTCTAAGGAACTTGGAATGTTTATCTCGTAGAAAAGAAATTTAGGGGTGACACCTCACTTTTAAAGAGCTATTTTATGAAAGAGGGATTTGACTTATTCCATTTGACCTCAGAGGATAAGACTAGGCGGCAAGGCGTGGTTGCAGTGACAGAGTAGGAAAAACATAGAGGAAAAACCATAAAGATTAGAACCACCCACCAGTGGAATGGTCTATCTCAGAAGGTAAATTCCCTCTAGGAAGAGGAAGGATTCTTCTCTTCAACAAAAGTCTAGATGACAATTTGAGGATATTGTAAGGGGTATTTCTGCTCAACTATGGGCTGAATGAAATGACATCCCAGGACCTTTTCAGCTCTGAGATTCTATGATTCTGTTAATGCTATGATCATGTAAAAGTCACTTAAACTCTCTGAGCCTCAGTTTCTTCATCTGTAAAATAAGGATAAAATTTGTACTGTTTGTCTAACAAGGGGGCTGTCAGAAAATTTGTCTCTGGAGATCATTAACTATATAATAGCCAGATATTATTGTTATTACTGCCTATCAGGTAAGGAAAGATCTAGGACTGATACATAATAAGAACTAGGTCATCATTAGGGATGATGGGCTCTCCATGAGGCTTCCATATTTACCACTCCTTTTTTTTAAAATCTTCACTGGTGACTTCAATTAAGTTCCTAGTATCAGTTCATAGACTTGGAGCAAGCCTTTCCTTAAAAAGCAAAGGGACCTGGCTTGCCAAGAAAGTTTTAATAACTTACCATGAAATTTATAGCCTTTCTAGAGTAGAGTAATTTAAACCACACATGGGAAAGTGAGGCCTGTAACATTCTAATCCAATTTAACACTGGGTCATCCATTTTATGCTCTTCCTCAGAGCACTTTGCATCCAAAGGAAAATTCCAGCCTGGGCCCAGGGCCAAAGGGAGGAAGGCTGTCTGTGGGGTTGGCCTCCCCAGGGGCCCGAGGTAACTCTGCCACAACTTTCGGCCAGTTTGAGCCACTTCCTCTGTGTCCCACTTGCCTGAACACGACAGCCTTTTAGTGGAAAGTGCTCTGGCCTGACTCCCTGCTCCCCTGCTCCTCTGCTCCTCTGCCCGACCTCCAGCAAGTCACTATGCTTCTGTGGTTGTGTTTGGTGACTTCTAAGGTCCGTAACTATTACTGGGAGAGAGATGTAGCCTGACAGAGTTCTCCTCAATTGAGAACTGACTCACTCTAGAGCCAAGGGAAGGCCTGACCTCAGAATCAGAGTCCCTGGGCTCAGGGCCCAGCTCGGCTGCTCAGTAGTTGAGTCACCTTAGGTTAATCATCTGATCTCTCTGAGCCTTAGTCTTCTCTGTCTTCTTACCTGTGAAATGGGAGATATGGACTAAGGGATCTCAAAGTATCTTCTAACTCCTGCATATAATGATTCTAAACGACAGAAAACCTCTGTACCTGAGCAGGGCCTGATTCAGAAATCTGACGAAGCAGGCAGTCACACACCTGGTGCCATTTGAGGGGTGTCAGGAAGGTCCTCACCAAGCAAGCACTTGGATAGATCTGGGTGCAAAATAGGAATATAATAAATGCTTATTGAATAAAAAAAAAAAGAAGATCCTCACTGTCTGTTGTGGGCCCTGAAATTCTACCATTTAAATTAATTCCATTGCATTAGTCAGTGCCCTAACCAGGGCTCTATTTGGGTGGGGGTGGATGGGTAGTAATACAGATGTAGAGATAATGTGGCTCCCCTCATGTAAGGATGTTAGGTTAGAGTAGTAAAGTATGCTCTACTCACAAGTCAAGAGGGGTACTCCAAGGGGCACCCCAGTCCTCACAGTTAGCACAGTGGGATTGAGTAGTTATCCTTCACAGGCAATGTAGCTGAAGGTACTTTAGGAAGTTTCCTAACTGCAAAAAATGCCTGCTCCCTCCCCACCACCACCACCACCACCACCACCACCACCACCACCACCACCACCACCACCACCACC